GATGTTACTTAATATGGAATAACTGCATACTTCATTTTTTTGGTATTAATTTGGTATCTAGGAACAATCAAACCTTTTTTTTTTCTATGTTTACCCTATATTTGGTACCTGTTTATTTTTCCTATTTCAGCTTACCGAAGGATTACCTCATCATGATGCCAACAATAACACGATGCTAACAAATATCTCGCGGGGTCACATAACACGATGTATGTTACCAAAATTCATCTATATTTTAAAATATATATATAGACATTGCACAATTGGATTCAAAGAAATCCGATACATCTGCAAGATGTTCCAAACACTGATTATATTCTTTTTGGAATTTCGCATCATCTTATGTGGAACTGTATGAAACCTCATCCATTGTGGTAATGTTTTATATAAGGTAATATTTGATGACATGTGACAATATCATATGCTTATACACACTACAAGAATATTATGTTTTCCCTACAAATGTTTTTGTAGGGAAATGTTCATATTTATGAGAAAAATATTTTCAGACGGAAAAATTGTATAGACACATTTGTGGGGCAAACATCAAGGGGATGGGTAGAAGACGACAATTATTATTATTATTATTATTATTATTATTATTATTATTTTAAAGATTTGTGGGCTAAACTTTTTCCCTATGAACATTTGGAGACAAATATAATACGTCGTGTAAGTTTTCCTCCAAAATTTTTTTTCGACTACTAAAATTAAGTTTGCCCATGAAAAGGTTCCTTTTCCCCACAAATTATGTTTTGGGCTAAATTGCATTTTCCCCTACAAATAATATTTTGTGTAGAAAGAATATTTGTAGGCTAAGACAACAATTAAGAATTTGTGGCAACATATTACAGATTATTTTGTGGGCTAAACATTATTGTTTTTCTAAAAAAAAAATTTTTGTAGGGAAAGTATATGTGTAGGCTATTGTGAAACAATTCGTAGGGAGAAATTAAATTACATTTTTTTATATTTTATTTGTTATTTATATTATAGTAATTTTTTTAGCCTTATTCAAAATAATATAAAGATACAAATAGACAATAAATTAATTAAGACATGTAGTGTCAATCAGTATAACATTCAATCCAAAGTATTTTATCATAAGACAAATAAAATTCATTCACCAAGTATGATTAAACCTAAACTTAAAAGGAGTATAGCAAACATGCTTTATATTTATTATTATGCACTTAAAAAAATAACTCTTCATCCTCGTGAATTATATATGAGGCTGATCATCAACAAACTATTCTCTTTGTCCTCAATATAACCATCGTCCTCATTAGCATTATTCTCTATTGACAATGGTGTAAATGGAGGTACAACGAAGTCAAGAATTTTACCACATAGCTCGTGCATAGAATGATGCCAAGACTGCAATGTAGAATTGAATTGTTGCTGAACAACCTTCATCTTATATTGCATCCTTTGCTTCACCTACACTCGAGCTGCATCGGCTACCTTTGTAGTAGCACATTTTGTTTCTAACTCATTTTCCAAACTGTGTACATTGGAAGAAGATGAGTGAATGTCTCGAAGGTAACCATCTCCCAAGCCAAGAATTTGACGTCCAAGCTTTGTACTTAGAATGTACATCATGATATTAATCACGGCCTCACGATCATCTACAGGTATCTTTTCCCAAGAGAGATCTTCGAGAAGTTGCTGCCTCTTTGCCCTCTCTACAAGATATTCATACTCTTTGATAAATATTTCATCCTACAAACACAACTCACAAAATGTGTAAAATAGTCCATAAAATTAAATTTTGCAAAAGATATAACATAATTGCACACAAGAGATATAACACAACGTAAGAGATATAATCGATCCTCTGAAACATTTTGACCATTGTAGTGTCTGTTTCCAAAATGGCCACAACAAAATTATTCAAAATTTGTCATACTACTTAATACAATGATAATTTTCTTGTTTTTTTTTTTTTTTTTTAAAATCTAACTTTGCAATATATTCTATTGTGTCTAACCTGGTAGATAAAAAATGATAAAGAAAACAAAGTTATAGTATTGAGTCTTTCTTACATGTTGAGTCTTAGTGGTATTATAAGTCCAGACCAACACTTGTTCTTCCGCCTACATAAGCGAACTCAAATGTGTCAACTTCGAGAATCTTCGAGCCATCCTAATAATAAAAAGTGCATGTTTCAAATACCATATTCAAATTCTTAGCAAAATTAATTAATTAAGTATATGTTGATAACATATAAGTTCACTACCTCAGCCATCTCCTCCACTATGTATGAGAAAGGACGTGAACCAGTATGGTAATTGTAATTCTTTTTGGATCGGTTCACCACGTTTGCTAATGATGCCTTAACAAAATTAGGGGTAAAAGCTGTGAACTGATAAGGAATTATGCAATAAATATCTTGAATTATCGAAGTTTAAATGATTACACAGTTCCACCATTGATCCACACTTCCATCAAGCATCTCCAAAGGAGGATTGGCTAATACATTCTCATGTGTCTTGCGCAAATTATAGCATGCACTCAACTCAGCCTTGAACTCCCTACACCTCCTATTGTATAGTCTATTAATATAATTTGCCAATCTCGAGTTTTTCAAATTTATCTCCAAGTTCGTCTGAAATTGAAATAATTATTAAAATAAAAAGAAACCATAATTATAAGAAACTACCCAATACTAGAAAACAGGCCACAAGGTAAAAATAAACGAATTTACAAAATGAATTGACTAATGTGCTTTTAATTTATTCATGTAGTTTTCTTTGGCTATTAACTTTCCAGCAACATAAACACATCCATACACATGCTTACCATGGTAAACACATCCATACACATGCTTAACAAATAAACGCCCTACTTTTGGAACCCTCTACTTCATCATCCAATGCCTCATCATTTTCTTCAGCTCTATGAATATTTTTACTTTCTATTGTGCCTATCACATGAGTTTCCCTTTTTATTCTAATTTCTCTTTAGATAATATTTGTAACACATTTAATTCAAAAAGAGATAAAGAAATGAGCATATATAAAGAATACATATTTTCATGTATGAGAGGTTCTTTTTAATTGTGACAAGTCTACAACAACAATTTTCTCCAAGATTGCTTTATGCATTTCTGAGCATCAAAAAGGAAATATTTCAACCTTATATTGAGTAATTAAGCTCAAAAATGAAAACTAGTGGCACCAATAGTCTAGTGATGAATGTTCACGTGCTTCATAAAACAAGCTTCTATTTAACATCTTCTCTTTCTTTATTTCTTTTTCTTATGATTTTACCATTTTGGATGCATTTCGAAAATAAAAATACAACCTTTCAACTACTACAGATCAATTCAACCAATAGTGTAATCACAATTAATAGGAGAAATTTTGGATTCCTAAAACCTCAACACACACCATCAAATCAGTAATGTGAAATTCGACATGATAGCAACTCAAATAAAAACCAACTGGAAAAATACATTCTATTTATTTATTATAGCTCACTAGACGATACTTCAACAATAGAATCAGTAAGAACTCCACCTTAATAATAGATGGCAACGGAGATGATACTGCAGAAATTATTGAGGAAACAAATGTCTTATACCATGTCGTGATAATATCAAAGCAAAATTCTTTGTTTCCACTCTTCTACTTACATAAAAATCCTTATAATTAGCAAGAATACTCTCTTTGTAATTGGCTTACACAATGTATATATTCCATAATATTCAAGGATTATAATCTATGCTCAAAACACTTAATTGATCAATGCCGTTGATGCGACTTACAATGCTATTTACAAATTCTGCTTTTTGCAGTAGCCTTCACAGTATGGTATAAGTTGGTAGTCATAGACAATACTTCATTATGGTATAGTCCAACACATTAAACATTTGGATAGTCGTAGACAACTACCCATTGTAAAACATTCCAAGCGATCCAATCAATGAGCAACCAATCTATACATAGATCAATTTAACTACAAGAGACAGAATCCTATCATAATCCCAAATCCATTTCTCTACTACTATCCACCACAATCCACAACACATCATATGCTCTAGCAATTTCTACTTTATTACTCCACTAATAGTTCATTTTCTAAATAGATCCTTTGCCAAAGTAATAAATTTGATAACGAAATCCCATTAAGAAAGGGACTAAATTTTGTAGCATAATTAATATCAGTAATTGAGATTGGCTTTTGTGCATACCCAAATTAGCCGAGTGCAATTGAAATGTGTGCATATGGAATGAAATGAAATTCATCTGTTTAAACCAAAAAACAAATAGGATAGATGAGCATACCCGAAAGATTGCTTGAAGAATAACATAGAAATCTGTAGATTGAGTCGTAATTTGTTGACAAGATACTGCATCAATTGAAGAATTTGAATTAGGCTTGGGCCGATTAAGCTGAAGCGGCAAAGAGAGGAAATGAATAATTTTGGGGAAAAATTTTAGAGGCGAAGAGGAAGAGTGAAAGATGGCAAAGAAGGAATGAATAATTGTGGGGAAAATTTTTGGAGGCAAGGAGGAAGTGGAAGGCTTCATACGTACATGGGTTATGGTTTTTCACTTTTGGGTTTTATTAACCAAAAAAAAAAATATATATTCTTTTTAATTATATTTTAACTTCAAATATATACTTGTAGGGATTAAAATTAAAAATAGCAATTCGGAAAATTTTTTCGTTAATTATTAGCCTACAAACAGTCTAATATTTTTGTCGGAAAAAGATATATTTTTCCCGTCAATTTTTTTGTCGGGAAAAAATACAAATTTTTGTGGGCATTAGTCCTAATATTGAAAAATTTGAAGCAAATCATTACCCTAGGAAATATCGTTTTTGTGGGGAAAGTGAATTTTGCCAACAAATCTCAATTTGTTGATGGAAATTTTGGAGGGAAATGATAAATTTCTTGAGTGACATGATCCATACTGCTCCACACTATTGTTATTAATGACAAGTATTACATTTCGTAATCGTGATGTAGATCCTGAATGCGATAACTATAGTACTTGTTACATGTAGCCACATTACATTAATGAATCCATAGATGTGATGCACCGCATATATTTGAATTCTTCTTACATAAATATGTGGGATTTGGTAATATTTTATACTCAAAATCCCTTTTCATCCTGTATTATTTAGGTATACAAAGATTAAAAAGTGTGAATTGAAAAAGCCTTTCCATAGGTATATCTATGACTCTTCAAGTGTAAAAGGTCCATAATAAAGAGTCACGATCTTTTGATAATGTACAATCTAGACCATCAATCTTGAAATAATATAATCTAATGATTGAAATTAATTTTGCCAAAAGATATGACTATTAAGAAGGGACCCATGAAAATCTATAAATAGGTCCTTCCTAATTTCATTTTCATCAATCGAAAATCCCAATTAATTGATTTCTAATGTATTCTCTCTTCAAATTATTTCAAAATAATTTCCATATTATTTTTGAGTTCGTATTTGATATTTAGTATTCAATATCTTCGTTCTAGAAAGTACGGTCAAGCATTGATTCGTTTGATACAATTAATATTTTGCTATATTAATTTTCGAAGAAGTATTGTATCTTGGAAGACAGATGTCCATTTGATTCTATTAACAATAGTGCACGTGACGAAGGAGATTTATATTCGTATACCTTGCTTCATTTCATATCCTTCTATTTCTGTATTTGAGTAAGTTGTGATTTGCTCATTATTATGCACGTACCATGGTTTCAACAAGTCATTATTCTATCAGTATTTATATGCACATGTTGTTAGTTAATTGGAAGGCTCAGATCCATTGCTTTTGTGGGTTGGAATTGATTCAATATATAATGGAAGGGAGTTGCATGATATCCATTGGCGTCAGTTATTCGTTATAGCATTAGATTGATCTTATGGTGGTACTGCTCTATTTTGGATGCAGTACGCCCTAATTAAGGCAATTACGGTCGCCACGAGAGGGTAAGACATGGAAGTTTGGGAGACAACATTGTATTCCACCACCCAATCATCTATGAATAGTATTGTGGAAGAGATTGACTCACTCCATGCTACCAAGTTATTCAACTTCGGCTTAGTGATATCGGGCTATTAGAAGTCATTATCTATCGTGATACCGACAACTTAAACTTTAGATAAAGATAAGCACCTTTAGAGTGTTGGGTTCAAGACTACTTGGACCTATCGAGGTTAAGCCGACCATGAATGGCAATGGCTTACTACCTAAAACAATTTTCCCTGGAACTGTTCTTGAGTCAAATTCTTGTTGATTTGTAAGATAGAGAATGGTGTCAGAATCATCCAAAAAATGAAAGTTTCACAAAGTACACGAGCAATAACTGATACTCCAGTTCCATCCACATGATTCTACAAAATGAACAAAATGCCGTGCAACAAATCCACCTACAAATCGAATCAAACAACCAATTAGTTTAGGATTTGTAGAGATTCAATAAAAGAAAACAAGACAAAAAAAAATCATAAAATTCAAAAACGATTTCCCCTTTCTAGATTAGGCTCAGAAACTTGATCCACACCACAAAGGTATCTCTAATTTAAAGGTCATTTTTAATCACAAAGAAGACAGAGGAGGTGCCGTGTTTTTGCACAAAGCAGGGAGAGTTCCTTCTTGGTTTTTCTCTCAGTTTTTTGTGTGAATAAAATGAAGGTGAAAGCTCCAATTTATAAGCTCAATAGGGAGCACGGATTTCCCAGGAGTCTTGTAGGATTAGGATAGAATATTTGCAAGATTATATTAACCAAAAGATAGAGCTCATCCAAGACAAGATAAGGTAGTTAAAAGAAAAGATATAGATTTATTTATCTATCTTTTCTTGTGATTTTAAATTACTTCCAAGTTGGGTATTGAACATCCAACCCAATGGATTAATTATCTCTAAATACCCAACATAATTGGGCTACTTTAATTGTGGTGTGGATTTAATTTTTTAATCCTAAGCTTATAGTCTATGAAGTTAAAAAGGGTCTCAATTTTTCATCATCGCCTTTGGGATTTAGGCACCACTTACCAAACATGCCCAACAATCTTTACCTTGATGTCAAATCATCCTGCAAGTCAGATAAGATAACTAATAGCTTAAAGGAAGAGACTTACAAGTTTGTACCGATGTTCAGAAGATCAAGGCAGCTTCTAAACTTTACCAATGTGAGCACCTTAAAGGATTTTCTCAAGTTTTACCAGTTCTTGAAAAACCATATCTCTAATGAAATGCAATCTAATATCTCTATGTTTAGTACGTTCATGAAAGACATGATTTTTGCATACGTGAATAGCAGATTGACTATCAGAATATATTGTCACATTATCCTTAAAAATACCAAGTTCATTTAATACACCTTTAAACCACAAAGATTCTTTAAAGGCTTCAGTATCAACAATGTATTCTGATTCAGTAGTGGATAATGCAATAACATGTTGAAGTTGTGATTTCTAACTAGCACATGAATTACACAAAGTAAACATGTAGGAAGATGTAGATTTCCTATTATCTCTATCACTAACATAGTTAGCATCAGTAAAACTTTTCAACTTTATTCCTTCAGTATTAAATTTATATTAAGCCAACATTGCATGTTCCTTTCAAATATCTAAACAACCATTTCAAAGTCTCTCAATGTTTGGGACCTGTGTTGGACATATACCTACTTACTAACAACAAATGCTAAGTCAGGTCTAGTACACACCATTAGAAACATCACAGAACCAATGGCATTTATATATGGAATTTGTTTCATATATTCTTCTTCTTCTTCATTAGCAGGTGATTGTTCCTTAGATAATACAAAGTGATTAGCTAAAGGTAAAGTAACAGGTTTACATTCATTCATGATTGTGTCTAACCTGGTAGATAAAAAATGATAAAGAAAACAAAGTTATAGTATTGAGTCTTTCTTACATGTTGAGTCTTAGTGGTATTATAAGTCCAGACCAACACTTGTTCTTCCGCCTACATAAGCGAACTCAAATGTGTCAACTTCGAGAATCTTCGAGCCATCCTAATAATAAAAAGTGCATGTTTCAAATACCATATTCAAATTCTTAGCAAAATTAATTAATTAAGTATATGTTGATAACATATAAGTTCACTACCTCAGCCATCTCCTCCACTATGTATGAGAAAGGACGTGAACCAGTATGGTAATTGTAATTCTTTTTGGATCGGTTCACCACGTTTGCTAATGATGCCTTAACAAAATTAGGGGTAAAAGCTGTGAACTGATAAGGAATTATGCAATAAATATCTTGAATTATCGAAGTTTAAATGATTACACAGTTCCAACATTGATCCACAGTTCCATCAAGCATCTCCAAAGGAGGATTGGCTAATACATTCTCATGTGTCTTGCGCAAATTATAGCATGCACTCAACTCAGCCTTGAACTCCCTACACCTCCTATTGTATAGTCTATTAATATAATTTGCCAATCTCGAGTTTTTCAAATTTATCTCCAAGTTCGTCTGAAATTGAAATAATTATTAAAATAAAAAGAAACCATAATTATAAGAAACTACCCAATACTAGAAAACAGGCCACAAGGTAAAAATAAACGAATTTACAAAATGAATTGACTAATGTGCTTTTAATTTATTCATGTAGTTTTCTTTGGCTATTAACTTTCCAGCAACATAAACACATCCATACGCATGCTTACCATGATAAACACATCCATACACATGCTTAACAAATAAACGCCCTACTTTTGGAACCCTCTACTTCATCATCCAATGCCTCATCATTTTCTTCAGCTCTATGAATATTTTTACTTTCTATTGTGCCTATCACATGAGTTTCCCTTTTTATTCTAATTTCTCTTTAGATAATATTTGTAACACATTTAATTCAAAAAGAGATAAAGAAATGAGCATATATAAAGAATACATATTTTCATGTATGAGAGGTTCTTTTTAATTGTGACAAGTCTACAACAACAATTTTCTCCAAGATTGCTTTATGCATTTCTGAGCATCAAAAAGGAAATATTTCAACCTTATATTGAGTAATTAAGCTCAAAAATGAAAACTAGTGGCACCAATAGTCTAGTGATGAATGTTCACGTGCTTCATAAAACAAGCTTCTATTTAACATCTTCTCTTTCTTTATTTCTTTTTCTTATGATTTTACCATTTTGGATGCATTTCGAAAATAAAAATACAACCTTTCAACTACTACAGATCAATTCAACCAATAGTGTAATCACAATTAATAGGAGAAATTTTGGATTCCTAAAACCTCAACACACACCATCAAATCAGTAATGTGAAATTCGACATGATAGCAACTCAAATAAAAACCAACTGGAAAAATACATTCTATTTATTTATTATAGCTCACTAGACGATACTTCAACAATAGAATCAGTAAGAACTCCACCTTAATAATAGATGGCAACGGAGATGATACTGCAGAAATTATTGAGGAAACAAATGTCTTATACCATGTCGTGATAATATCAAAGCAAAATTCTTTGTTTCCACTCTTCTACTTACATAAAAATCCTTATAATTAGCAAGAATACTCTCTTTG